GGGATGGGCCGGCACGGAGACATGCACACCGAATCCTGGCCCAGCCATGGAAACATGCACACCGATCCTGGGCCGGGGATGGGCCTGGCCCAAATCGGTGCCCACGTCGGGGATGGACAGACCTCCCTTTAGTGAAACGTGGTTTAGTGAAAACGACCTGAGGCCCGAACCTGGCGGGCGCAAGCCTGGAAAATAACGGCCGCGGCGCCCTCTCGAGAACCTAAAACGGACAATTCACTAATCGACGTGTCACTGTTGGGAATTCTGTCCACCCCCGAACATGTCCACTTCTCGTCGCAGCACTGGGGGCTCCTTCGGGCGCTCTACGAGGCGGGACGGGAGTTCGCTCTCCGGGTCGCTAGTGTGAGTTCCCGCTGGAGCCCCTCGAGGACCGCGCTGGGCCTTGTGCTGGGATCTGCAAAGAAGGAACATCTGGAAGCCAAGAACGGGATTCGACGTCGAACGTGGAGGGGCAATGAGGAGGGGGAGGAAGAGGAGGAGGAGACAGCCGTATTGGCCGTAGCCGTAATAGTATACACCAAGCCTTGCAACACCCGAGTACGTACCCCACAACGCGTACGCCACACGCACATAGACACGCAAGACTAGTATACTGCAAACGGATATGAAACGAAATTTAAGCGTACACGACACGAATACAAAACGCATCCGAACACACATACACCGACGCGTATTCGGCACAAGGCGGCCTCAGGACTGCCGAAGAGGCTCAGGGAAGCCGCGGCACAAGAGGCTTGTGCGAGGCTCTTCAAGGGTTCTGAGAAAACCCTTCTGACGCTCTGCAGAGGCTCTATGAGGGAAGGCTCAGGAGGCTCAGCAGAGGCTCTGGGAAGGCTATTGAAGGGCTCTGCGAAGGGACTTCAGAGGCTGTCTCATTTCTCGCAAAAGTTTCATGGGAAGCAGGGCTTCTGCCAGGGATGTAACCTTTCTGCCGAAGAACCAGCCTCCGTTTTGAAAATGGTCACCTGCGAGAAACGAACCCTTCGGCCAGGGTGCGAACCCTTGTGCCGGAGAGCGACTGTTTCTCGGTAGGGCCCCCGAGGGGGTTCTGGTGGAGGGCTCTGGGTCAGATTACCGCTCCCAGGGGTCAGGGCGGGTCCCGGGGGGTGGTCCCACCCGTGGACAGGGGGGCAAGGACGGTTCCCCCTTGGGGGGGCGGCCGGCCCTGGTCCGGGCGCTGGCCCCAGCCCTAGCCCGGGACCTGGCCCTGGCCGTGGCCGTGGCCGTGGCCTCGGCCGTGGCCCACGCCCAGGGGTCCCGGGAGCGGACCCCAGGGTCCTGGGGGAGGTCATGCCGTCACGGTCGGCGGCACCCGCCGTAAGGCCTTCACATTAGTTACATCTCTGCGTGTATATATATATATATATGTCCATATATATATATACATATATACACATGTGCCCATCTGTACAAATATATGCATGATGTGGGAGCTATGTAGTGCAACCTGTGTTGTGCAATAGCTGTGGTGCAACCTATGTTCTGAGCAATCTAAAAGCGCGCCACAGGCACGACAAATTCTTCGTGCAATATGCGTGGTGCCATCCAGCGGCTGCGACGAGGCGGCGACGGGGCGGCGATGGCGGCGACAAGGCGGCGACGGGGCGGCGACGGCGACAACATAGACGCCAGACCGGCCACACGACCCAGTTCCTTCGAGCAGAAGTACAAACCCCTAAGTGCACACACTGCTTGGGGAAAAATGCGCCATGATAATCGAAGGCATTGTCGACGCGATCACCGAGAGGAATAGGTGCCGATCGAACTGCTGCACGACAAAACCTAGTTTTGCGTGTCAGGTAACATGCATAAATGGGCCCGCCCTTCTGTGCCCTAGGCATTGCTGGGGCACTGGCCTGGATGGTCCTCACCTGCTTGTTGCTGGAGTATATGCTGACGAAGCACATGTCGCCACTCTGCTCGACAAGCTTGCCGATGGTCCAGGATCCATCGATCAAGACTTTGCACTGGCGCGGAAGCAGCGGAGAACAAGAAGGAGTGGGAGAATACAGGGAAGGATAAGGGCGAAATAGACGAGGAGCAAAGGAGCGAGGAGGAAGAGGAGGTCGTTGTCATGATGCCCCTCGTTCCCCGAAGATGTGTCCAGTGTCCACCACCGCACATGCAAAGACAGTGGCAAACCAGGCGCAATGGACCCTAAGGAGCCAACAGCATGAGAAGAGGAAGACAGGGAGGGAATCTTGACCAGTCCGCGGCGCCGTGGGGCAAGGTCGCACGGCTGCCTGCCAAGGCAGAAAGGCACACATGACGCGACTGTAAGCTGGGCGTCCTAACAGCTACGCAAGACCGCGGGGCAAAGACGTGTGTGAAGGGGCCCTGGGACACACAACTAAATACACACAATGAACAGAGTCCCCCATATTGTCCCATATGTTCTGGGTTTTTGTCACCCCCCCACTTCCCATATTCTCCCATCTTTTCCTGGGAGTCGGCGATGCGTTTGTGTCTGTGCGCTTCTTGCCCTCCTGAGTCCGGCAGACCGACACCTGGGTTTCATTTGTTTTATTGTTATGTGGTCATTATTCTTCTTTGGGTGACCTTATGTAAGATATTTATATATATGTATATGTATATATATATGGTAATGAATATGTATATATATATACATACATATATATATATATTATATATACATATATCTATATCCTCGACGGAGCAGCCTGCACGCCGCGAGGGATGGGCAGCCGCTGCGCAGAGCAGGCGCCCAGCGCCTGGGAGCGGGGGCACGCCCCCGAGGCGCGGGCCCCGCCTCCCCTCCGCCGGCGCCCCCAGGGCCCCCCCCCGGCCCAGCTTGTGCGCAGGGACCGACCGTACCACGAAATGTTCTTAGAACCCAAGAATGTTCTAAGAACAAAAATTACCCCAGGGCGACCCTACCTAGAAGTTGGAGCTCCTAGGAAAGCAGCATTCGTTGCTATGCTATGCTATGCTATGCTATGCCATGCTATGCTGCGCTATGCTATGCTATGCTATGATATGCCGCGCTATGCTATGCTATGCTATGCTATGCTATGCTATGCTATGCTATGCCATGCTGCGCTGTGCTATGCTGAGCTATGCTATGCTATGATATGGTATGCCATGCTATGCTATGCTGTGCTATGCTACGCTAAGCTGCGGTATGATATGTTATGATGTGCTATGCTATGATATGTTAAGCTATGATATGCTATGCTGCGCTATGTTATGCTATGCTATGTTATGCTTGGCTATGGTATGCTATGCGATGCTATGCGAATGCAGCGCTGCGCTATGCAAAGTTAAGCTAAGCTAAGCTAACCCTCTAGGCAGAGCCTAGGTAGGGAATTACACCCATGCTAATGCTGTTGCTTTGCTTTGCTTTGCGTTGCTTGTGCTTTGCTTTGCTGTCGCTGGTGTTGCGTTGCCTTTGCGTTGCTGCTATGCTATGCTCTGCTCTGCTATGCTATGCTATGCTATGCTGCGCTGTGCTATGCTGTGATGTGCTGTGCTGCGCTATGCTATGCTATGCTATGCTATGCTGCGCTATGCTATGCTATGCTGGGCTGTGCTATGATATGCTGTGCTGCGCTATGCTACGCTACGCTATACTATGCTATGATGTGCTCTGCTATGCTAAAGCTCAGCGAAGCTAAGATGAAGGTTAGCTAAGCTAAGATAAACCTGAGCTAAGATGATGCTAAGCTAAGCTAAATTGAAAATAAGCTAATATAAGATGAGATAAGCGACGCTAAGCTAAGGGGGCGAATCTGGGGGAACCGCGGGGCGGATGCCGGGTGAACCGCCCGGGGCGAGCCCCACTGCCCGGCCCTTTAAGCACAGAGGGTAAGAACCCCTCTAGGCAGAGCCTAGGTAGGGAACAACGTTCTGAGAACATAAACCCGATGTGATAAAACAGGGCAGACTCCGCCAGAAATGTTCTAAGAACGTTCCGTGGAAACCACGAAAGGTTCTAGGCTATAGGCGAGCCAGGTCGCTTCGCCACTGCTTGAAGCTTGTGCTAGGTCGGGCCTGTCCCCATACAGGCCGACTTTCGAGGAAGAGTGCGACAGCGACGCAAAAAATGCCCCCGCCCGATGGTCAGAAAAAATGGTCCGAAGATCGTCCCCCGACTATTTCTGCTTGGGTCTTTTGGAACACTCTCCCTGTCGAGGGACAGGCCCGACTCAAAACTTGTGCAGAGGCCGGCGTCACCCTAAGCTTAGGGCAAAATCCCCCTACAGGGGGACTTTCGAAGAAAAAATACAAATAGTCGAAAAAGTTCCCAAATTGGTCAAAAAATGCTAAAAAAATCGTCCCCCGACAATTTTGTTTTGACTCTTTTGAAACGTGCCCCCTGCAGAGGGACAGGCCCGACGTCAAACTCGTGCAGAGGCCGGCGTCGCCCCAAGCTTAAGTCGGGCCTGTCACCCTACAGGGGAAATGTCGAAGAACAAATACAAATTCTCAAAGAAAAACCAAGATGTGATACCACAAAAAATACTCAAAAAAACATTCCTCGACTATTTTTGCCTATTTTTGAATATCCCCCCTGTAGAGGGACAGCCCCGACTTCAAACTCGTGCACAGGCCGGCGTCGCCCCAAGCTTAAGTCGGGCCTGTCACCCTACAAGAAATTTTCGAAGAAAACAAATAGTCAAAAAATATTCCAAAATGTTACACCCCAAAAAAATACTCAAAAAAAACATCCCCTACTATTTTTCCCTATTTTGGAACACGCTCCCTGTAGAGGGACAGCCCCGCCTTCAAACTCGTGCAGAGGCCGGCGTCGCCCCAAGCTTAAGTCGGGCCTGTCCCCCCGCAGGGGGATTTTCGATTAGAAAGTATAAATAGCCAACACATATTCCAAAATGGTCGGACAAAAATGCTCAAAATATCGTCTCCCGACTATGTTTTGACTCTCTTGGAACAATCCCCCTGCAGAGGGACAGGCCCGACTTCAAGCTCGTGCAGAGACCGGCACCGCCCCAAGCCCCAAGAAAAAATACAAATGGTCAACAAAAATGCTCGAAAGATCGTCCCCCGACTATGTTTTGACTCATTGGGAACCTTCCCCCTGCAGAGGGACAGGCCCGCCTTTAAGCTCGTGCAGGGGCCGGCGCCGCCCCAAGAGCACAGGCGGCGGCTTTTGGACTCTTTGGGAACATTCCCCCTGCAGAGGGACAGGCCCGACTTCAAGCTCGTGCAGAGAGCGGCGCCGCCCCAAGCCCCAAGAAAAAATACAAATGGTCAACAAAAATGCTCGAAAGATCGTCCCACGACTATGTTTTGACTCATTGGGAACCTTCCCCCTGCAGAGGGACAGGCCCGCCTTTAAGCTCGTGCAGAGGCCGGCGCCGCCCCAAGAGCACAGGCGGCGGCATTTGGACTCTTTGGGAACATTCCCCCTGCAGAGGGACAGGCCCGACTTCAAGCTCGTGCAGAGACCGGCGCCGCCCCAAGCCCCAAGCAGAGGGACAGGCCCGACTTCAAGCTCGTGCAGAGGCCGGCGCCGCCCCAAAAGCACAGGCGGCGGCTTTTGGACTCTTTGGGAACATTCCCCCTGCAGAGGGACAGGCCCGACTTCAAGCTCGTGCAGAGTCCGGCGCCGCCCCAAAAGCTCAGGCGGCGGTTTTTGGACCCTTTTTGGCACAGTCCCCCTGCAGAGGGGCAGTGACAGGCCCGACTCCAAACTTGGGCAGAGGCCGGCGTCGCCCCAAGCTTAGCTCGGGCCTGTCCCCCTGCAGGGGCATTTTCGAGGAAAAAATACGCACAGTCCACAGATATTCCAAAATGGTAGAACAACAAATGCTCAAAAGATCGCCCCCCGACTCTGTCTTGACTCTTTGCGAACCTTCCCCCTGCCGAGGGACAGGCCCGACTTCAAGCTCGTGCAGAGGCCTGCGCCGCCCCAAAAGCACAGGCACCGGCTTTTTGACTCTTGCAATGGAGGCCTAGAAATTGGCACCAACACCAACACAGGGGGGTTGCCTCCTCAGGGGGAAGATGATCCTCGATTTCGGCGTTATATTTCGGCCACCTTGGAAGCCAAAATATTACCACCATCACCGAGATCGGGATCTTCTTCCATCGGTGGAGGCACACCGCCGAAATTGGTGTTGGTGTCAACCTCTAGGCCTGCGACCTGCAGAGGGACAGGCCCGACTCCAAACTTGGGCAGAGGCCGGCGCCGCTCCAAGAGAGCACAGGGCCGCGGCCGGGCGCCTGCGGCGCACCGCGGCCGCGTTGGCGGTCCGTGCCCCCCGCTGCGGGCAACCCTGGGGGGCACCCCGGGCAGGCGCGGCGCGCCCCTGGCGGGGGCCCGCTGCGACGGTGGAGTCGGGCCCGTCCCACTGCAGGGGGGATTTTGGAAGAAAAAATTTAGAAATGCCCACAAATACCATCACATATTCAAACATTGTATTAAAAAACAACATAAAAAATATGATAACAAAACCTTAGAATATTCAAAAATACCATAGAGTATCCAAAAATACCTTAGAATATTAATAAAATGGTATTACAACAAAAAATCACCTTTCATTATATATATATATATAATATTATATATATATATATATGAAACTAAAAAAAGTTCCCAGACTAATTTTTGACTATCTTTGAGCATTCCTCCTGTAGAGGGACAGGCCCGACTTCATTCCACGGGGGAACCAACGGGCATCTGCAGATCCGAGCCTTGCGGCGCTGGCGCGCTCGCCTGCCTTCAGCGCAAGGCCGCGTAGAGGACGTCCCCCCCGGGAGTCGCGGCTCGCGCGCCAGATCGCACCGCGCCGCGAGGACCCAGGTCTTGCAAGATGATCCCGAGGCACGAACTACGGGGCCCAGAAATATGCCCCAGCACAGCCTGCCTCCCCCCTTCTCCTCTCTCAGGAGAAAGGAAAAGGAGAAGAGGCTTGAGCATGGCAGGGGGGATAAAGGTGGTGGTACTTTATATTCTTAGCACCCGCGCGACGCCGCCCCAGCGATCAGAACTGACCCCGCGCGCCGAAGGGCGATGCAAAACGACGTGGCGCGGTATCTGCGTGCCGTCTCCTGCGAACAGCGGCGAAAACATTGAACATAACATCCCCTCTCGGAAAGCGCCGCAAATTTCACGCAGCATGCATCCTGCATCCCAACCGTCTGGAGCCTATATGGGCTGCGGAGGAGACGCTGATGATAAGGAGGAGGAGGAGGAGGACCACAACATGCCCTCAAAATGCTCCCAACAACAGCCACTCTGCATCTTAATTATTTGGAATTAATACAGATTGTGCAAATATTTAGGATAAGAACGAGGAGGAGGACCCCAACACGCCCCATGTATGCTCCCAAGAGGGCCCCGATCGCCTCCCAACCAAGGGGCTTGGACGGGCTGGTGGAGACACGCGAAATGTATATAATTATCCGTCCACGCACACTGCTTCCCTGATCCACCTAACGTTAAGATGCTCTTAGGCCTTTGTGACACGTGGTTGCGCCTTATGGCTGTTCAAGCGGTTCAGTCTCATTACCATTGCTTGTCACACTCGCAGCTCTGCTGAATTACATTGGGATCGCAAAACCGAGGGCCTTGACACCGATGAGAGAGTAGAAGAGAAAGATCCCGCGGTGGAGGGGAAGGAGTATGGTGGGGAGGGGGAGGAGGAGGATAAAACAGGAGGTCGGAGGGTCCGCTTGGAAGGCACGATGCGCGCTGGAGCAACATCAGCATGCGCCAGATTCCGAAGCGCACTGCCCCTCAACGACGCATCTGCACCATGGTTCTCCGCAGCTGTTGGGCTGCTTCATTCTCGCCGCCGTCTCTCTCTCTCTCTCACTCTGTCTTTCTCTCTCTCTCTCTCTCTCTCCCCTGCTAGGTGGCGACATCCGAAACCTACCCCCGCCAATCATCGATTCTCCTGAATCGATGGAAGGCGGGAGTGGGGTTTTTGACTTCGCCACGTGTTCGACGAATTCCGCACCCCGACCCCGCCGCCCATCGAGTTGCCTGGTCGGTGACGGGAAGGTTCGGACATCGCTGCCGATCCGTCTCGCGCACTCGCAAAGTAACTACTCGCAAATAGCCCAGACCCGCCACGAGGGGTCTACGATCCAGTGCCTCGAGGCAAACATGTGTGTTTCGGGCGTTTGCGAATATGCACTTCGCGAGCAGAGCCGGACCTCAGATAGAAGAACATCCTCTGAGAACATGAGACCCTCCGCAAGCCCAAACACACAGAACATGGGAGGGTACCCTCCCCAGGATGCACACGAACATCCGACAAGCAGTAGAACACTAGGGTACCCTCCCCGAACCGACCTCGATCTTTTGCCTCGGTCCGACTGCAATGGAACGCGGTCGATGAATTGAGCAGGGACCGACCGTCCCGGCATTCCTTTAGTCATACCACGAAATGTTCTTAGAATCCAAAAATGTTCTAAGAACAAAAACCATGTTCTTGGAACAGGAACCCGATGTGATAGAACAAGACAGCCCCCGCCAGAAGTGTTCTGAGAACATGCTGGGGAAACCACAACAGGTTCTTAGAACATTGTCTGGTAGGGCTACAGGCGAGCCAGGACGCTTCGCCACTGCTTGAATGAAAGCGGCCGGCGTGGGCGGCTCCTTGGCCGCGCTCCTGCCAGCGCCCTTGCCGCTGGGGCCTCTCCGGAGGGCCTCCGCCGGCGGCCTCGGCGCCGCCGCGGCCGAGGCGGCTGGGAGCCCTTTTTGGACATTTGTGCTCCGCTCCGCCGCCCGTGGCGAGACCAAAACTGAAGGGGCCCTAGGACACACAAAGAGATACACACAAAGAAAAGGATCCCCCATGTGTTCCCACATGTTCTGGGTTTCTGTCTTCCCCCCCACTTCCCATATGTTCCCATATTTTCTGGCGAATCGACGATTACTTGTGTCTGTGTGTGTTTCTCCCCTCCTGGAAAACATACCATCGAAACGCTGCCACAAGGAACCCTGAATAAGGCACGAGGCCCCGTTTTCCCAGAAGCTTTAAACTTCGACTCCTCATGGGAAGCCCGAGACGACCCAGGAGAGAAACTGCAACACGGCTACGGAACACTGGGCCCGCCCCCCACGAGAAAGACCTCTTCAGCGGCCCGGCTGCAACGACCCCCAGACCCTTTCTCGGGGTGCGCCCTGGCCAGAATCTCGATGCGACCCCGGCCGTGGCGAATTCGGCGGTGGACAAACCTCCTTTTCGTAGACCTCCCCTTTGAGAAAACGGCCTGGGACCGAAACCGACGGACCTGGACCGGCAAAAATGACGGCCGCGACGCCCTCTCGCGAACCGAGAACGGCCAATTCCTTAATCGACGTGTCAGGGTAGGAGGTCTGTCCAACTCCGAACCCCTTCCCGGGGTGCGCCCTGGCCAGAATCTCAATGCGATTCTTAAGTCGGGCGTGTCCCCCTACAGGGTAATTTTCGACGGAAAGAATACCTCACAAAACCAATCCAAGATGCTCCAAACATAGTCTGGGTACTATTTCTTGAATCTATTTTTTTACCTTTGGGGGGTCTTCTGGGGGTATTTTGTTACTTTTCGTCGAAAATCCCCATGTGTAGGGGGACACGCCCGACAGAATGCGCCTCCGGCCGTGGCGAGTCTGGCGGTCTCGGCCCGGCGGCAGCGGCAACTTCTTTCCTCCCCTGGATCTCCGGGGGGCCAGCGGGAACGGGAGGCGGCTCCGCTGATCGACGGCGTCCTCTCCGCCCGCGGGCGGGCTCGCCGCAGCGCTCCATATCGCCGGTGCGCTGGCGAGCGGCTGCTGGGCGGCAGCCCTGCGCCCCGAGCGGGAGTGGCGACCTATAGTGCGCTGGCGAGCGGCGGTTGGGCGGCAGCCCCGCGCCCGGAGCGGGAGGGGCGGCCTCTAGAGCAGGAGACGGAGCAGCGGCGCAGAGGGCTACATTTCTGTCGGGCGTGTCCCCCTACGGGGGGATTCTCGACGAAAAATTCGAGATACCCTACCAGTGCCCCCAAAAAGGAGCAAAAATATTAAAAAAATAATCCCCAGACTATTTTTGGATCAATTTTTGTATTTTTTTTAATAATATTTTTAAACATTTTCGTCGGAAATCCCCCTGTAGCTAGGGGGGACAGGCCCGACTTAAGGCTACATCGGCAAGGGCGCCCGGCAGCTGCCAGCTGCCCCGTGTGCGCCGGGGAGCTCCTCTCTCTGCTTCTGCCCAGTCGCGTGGGGGCTCCTGCGCCCCCCGCGCCGGAGCGCAGGCGTGCCTGAGTTCCGCAGCGCCGGGCCCCGTCGTGGCGGAGGGCACGCTCCAAAAGGGCCCCAGCCCCCCCTGCTTCACTGCGGCCTTCTTGCGGAGTGCGCCCGACTGCTCTGCCTTCCATGCGCCTCCTCAGATGCTCCCGTGCGCTTGACCCATGGCTTCTGCCCGCGCCACGCCTGGCCGTCAGCGTGCTCCGCCCGCCAGGAAAAGCCTGCAGCTCGCGCGGCCATTCCGGTTTGCCTCAACAGGGAAGGCGTGATATACCTGGGGCCGTCTGATAGCCTCCTGAATTGCCCGGGACCCTTGACCGGGGAGCCAGCGTTAGGTCGGGCATGCCCCCCTACAGGCGGATTTTAGACGAATAATAATCCGAAGTGGTCAGAATGGTCACAAATAAGGAAAACAGTCCCCTTATCATTTTTTGACTATTTTTGAATACAGTCGGGCTGCTGAAGGAAGGAACGATAAACAAGGAACGAAGCCCCTGTTCGGCCCCACGAGCGCCTGCGTGCACGAGGAAGGCTAGAGGAAAAGCCACAAAAGGATCTAGAAGGAGCATCGAGCCCCTTTCTTCCCCAAACTGCTCCTTCTTTCAGCGACTTGGCTGCATTCCTCTTGTATTCCTCCAAAGTTGTCAAAATCGTCACATACATATATATACACATAAATAAATACATACATAGACATATATATATATATACATACATATATATATGAACATAACTAAACAGCCATTAAGAGAGAATGACGATTGCTGGACTCTGTTTGAAGATTCCTCCTGCAGCGGGGCAGGCCAGACGCAGAGCCGGCGGGCGGTCCCCCCCCACGGGAGCCCGGGGGGCCGCCGGGGCCCGCCCGAGCCCCTCGTTTTCATCCTCAGCGTTCTCGTGGTCGGCGCACGCGCCTCCAGAGGCCTCGGCAGGGTCTCGTCCTGCCCACGCCCACTCTCAGATCCAGAGCTGAGAAGCTAAACGGTGATTTTCGTTTGCGGCTTTTGTGTTGTCGGTTTCCCTCGTTTTGTTTTCAAGCCACCTCTGCCGCAGAACGCAGTCGAAAAGAAGACGGTCCACGAAATCGCAAAAAAACACCATTTAAGTCCAGCCCTGCTCAAATCAATCACCCCCCGAGGGGGGGGGGGGGGGGCACCCGCCCCCCAGAAGGGACACCTGAAAATGCAGCCGAGGGGACGATCAAGCGAAGGCATCATCTGAGAGACATGTGGGCCGACCTCCCCGAGATGCCCTCGTCCCGCCTTCGGGAGCGGCCAAGAGGGGGGTATCCAAGAGGGGGGGGTGCAAATCATGACCGGCGGCACGTGCGCGGCCCCGCGGGGGGACCAGGGACGCAATGAAATCAGAAGAGGCGCCATGAAATCTAGGGAAGTATCATGGCCCGCGCCATGATATCCACCCCCCTCCTAGTCATCACCCCCCTCTTTGCCGCCCCCGATCCCTGGATGTGCAGCGAAAGCTCAGGATCCTGGCGGCACTGCCCCCGCAGGACCTGCTCCTGCGGCGGCCGCCGGAGCCTGCGGCAGTGCGCCGTCCAGCGAGCGCTCGGCGATGCGCATGTCGGCGCCTCGCGGGGGGTGGGCTGGGCCGCGCGCCCGGGAGAAGGAGGTCGAGGAGGGCAGCACGGGTCAAGTCGGGCCTGTCCCCCTACAGGGGGATTTTGGGCGAAAAATAAAACATAGACTGGGCGAAAAATAAAACATAGACAACAAATACACCAAAAATGTTCAAACATAGTCCAAAAGTCGTCCCCGGACTACTTTTTGACTATGTTTGAATCCCACCAGCCCTTTGGGCGTGAGTGGTTTAGAGAGCTCTCTCTGTTCTCAACCCCCCTTCTTCCCCTTCGGGGAGGGGTTTACCCCTCCCCCTACCCCCTCCCCGCGACCGGTTGTTACTGTGGCCCGTTGGGTGTTAGTGTGGCCCGTTGGGTGTTAGTGTGGCCCGTCGCGCGGCGGGATGGGAGTTACTGTGGCCCGCGCAGGCCGCTCAATGAAAAGTAATATGTAAAGGTATATCATGTTAGATCTGGAGAGATTCGCAACCCTTAAGGGAATGCACTCCCGCGCAGGCAGAAGTGGCCACAGTAACTCCCATCTGGAACCAACGTGGTAGTAGTGCTGTGTTAGTGGTGTGGTGGTCGCTGTGCTGTGTGAGTGGTGTGGTGTGGTGTTGGTAATGTTGTGTTAGCGGTATGGTGTTGGTAGTGGCGGGTTGTGCTTTATACTGTGTTAGTGGTGGGGTGTTGGTAGTGGTGTGCTGTGTTAGTGGTGTGGTGTTGGTAGTGTTGTGTTAGTGGTGTGGTGTTGGCAAGGTTGAGTTGTTAGTAGGTAGTAGTGTTGTGGTAGTGGCAGTGGTGCTGTGGTAGTGGTGTTGTGGTAGCGCTGTTGTGGTGTTGTGGTTGTGGTATTGTGGTAGCGGTGTTGTGGTGTTGTGGTAGCGGTGTTGTGGTGTTGTGGCACTGGCATCGTGGTAGTAGTGCTGTAGTGTGGTAGTACTATGGTGCTGTAGTGTTGGTGTTAGGTACTATCATTCATAGGGAGTGCTAGTCCTACGGAGTACTAGCCGCAGGGAGTGCTAGCCCCAGGGAGTACCAGTCCTAGGAATTACTACCCCAAGGACGTATTCGTCCAAGGGAGTATTCGTCCTAGGGAGTACTCGCACTACGGAGTACCAGCCCTAGGGAATACTAGTCCTAGGGAGTGCTAGTCCGAGGGAGTGCTAGGAAGTAGTGGCGCTAGGGAGTGCTAGCCCTAGGAAGTACTGGCGCTAGGGAGTGCTAGCCCTAGGGCGCTAGGGACGACGACGACGACGACGACGACGACGACGACGACGACGACGACGACGACGACGACGACGACGACGACGACGACGACGTAGTAGTAGTAGTAGTAGTAGTAGTAGTAGTAGTAGTAGTAGTAGTAGTAGTAGTAGTAGTAGTAGTAGTAGTAGTAGTAGTAGTAGTAGTAGTAGTAGTAGTAGTAGTAGTAGTAGTAGTAGTAGTAGTAGTAGTAGTAGTAGTAGTAGTAGTAGTAGTAGTAGTAGTAGTAGTAGTAGTAGTAGTAGTAGTAGTAGTAGTAGTAGTAGTAGTAGTAGTAGTAGTAGCAAACGTAGTTCGGAGAGCCCAAGAGGCTCTTCCGAGAGCCCAAGAAGCGCTTCGGATGCCCCAAGAGGCTCTTCGGAGGCCCCACGGGGCTCTTCGGAGAACCCAAGAGGCTCTTAGGCGGCTGCAAAAAGGTCTTCAGCAGCTCTTCCGAGAGGCTCTTCGGTGAAGGGGGGGGGGGGCGGAGCCTTTTTGGACCTCCCCCCCCTTCACCGTACTCGATAATTAATACACTCCGGAGGACCCCTGGCCATACTAACACCCACCGGGCCGCAGTAACAACCAACGGGCCGCGGTAACACCTGATCTCCCCCCTCCCTTGGGCCTGGAGAGGGCGGGCCGAGTGGTGGCAAGGGGGTCTTTTTCGACTCCTGGGAGGGCAAAAAAACGACGACCCTCACGAGGATTCTGGCCCCGACGGGGGGACGCAGTTTGGCCCCTCTGCTCTTCTTGGAAGCCAATAACATTGATTGTGCTACGGTTTTGGCCCCATTTTGGAGTCCTGAGGGGGCCGCGCTTATCTTCCTTCATCGCAAAACCATTGATTTTACTGAGGTTTTGGGCTCATTTTGTTCTTTTCAGGGGGTAGCTCTCATTTGCGCTTCTGAGAAGGTCGCAAGAGGCTCCAAGATGGCCCCAAGAGGCCCCCAGGAGGCTCCCAAGAGGCCTCCAAGAGAGCCCCCAAGAGGCCCCAAGAGGCCCCCAAGAGGCCCCCAAGAGGCCCCCAAGAGGCCCCAAGAGGCCCCCAAGAGGCCCCCAAGAGGCCCCCAAGAGGCCCCAGAGGCTCCAAGAGGCCCCCAAGAGGCCCCACGAGGAGCCCGAACGACTCACACCAGGACGAGGGGCCCGAACGACTCACACCACGAAGAGCCCGAACGACTCACACCACAAGGAGGGGCCCGAACGACTCACACCAGGACGAGGCGCCCGAACGACTCACACCACGAGGAGCCCGAACGACTCACACCACGACGCGGGCCCCGAACGACTCACACCACGAGGAGCCCGAACGAGTCACACCAGGAGGAGGGGCCCGAACGACTCACACCAGGATGAGGGGCCCGAACAACTCACACCACGAGAAGCCCGAACGACTCACACCAGGACGAAGAGCCCGAACGACTCACACCACGAAGAGCCCGAACGACTCACACCAGGAAGAAGGGCCCGAACGACTCACACCAGGACGAGAAACCCCAAACGACTCAAATCACGAGGAGCGCTTTCTCTCCCTCCTCCTCCGCCTCGTCCTTCTCCCGCTCCCCCCACAAGGAGGATGTACAAGGAGGCGGGAGGAAGGAGGAACAGGGGAGATATGCGGGGCCAAGCGGACACACGCCTGAAAGACACGACTGTCGGCATGCTTCGCAAGAGTTGCTGCTGTGAGATGGGCTGGTGGGGATACGCGAAGCGTAAAGAATTTTCCTCCTGTAGAGGGACAGGCTCGACTGAAAGCAGGGGGTGGGGTGGGGGCCAGCCTCCATGGCCAAGGGGTGGGCCCCCCGTCGTACTTGCTGCCTGTGGTGAGGAGGGGTTGTGCTCTGCGCCGTGGCCACGGGAGGACGGGCGTGGCGAGGGAGCTCTGCGAAGAGCCTTCTGCTGCGACTGCCACTGGGGCACCTCCGCTCGGCGACCTCCTCCGTGAGACGAGGGCGGGGGGACTGGGCAGAGGAGGAAGGCAGGGGGATCAAACGGGAGGGAAGGCGCGAGAGGCTCAGGCATGGCGCTCCGCCTCGGGGGCAGGGCAGCGAACCCCGTCCTCAGGAGGATCTCTCGCGCGACGTGCACAACATTCGGCTACCGTTGTGGACGCCACGACAATGGACACCCTAAGAGTCCTATCATTGAGCTTAACATGTGTTTAAGATGTCAGAAACATGCTGCGAACATGTTTTAAATATGTGTTCTTGCACGTTTTAAAAACATACAGCTTACATGTGTTAGACATCTGGAAATGATTCTGGCAATGTTTGAGACAGGTTTCACTTGTTTGAGACATCTAATTTGCATGTTGTGTTACATGCTTTAGACATGTTTTTTACGTGTTCTGATCGTCCTCCACGAAGCCACCAGCGGGTTTGACCACCACGGCCCAGCAGGAACCCGCGGGGGCCCCGCCGCAGCCCCAGAGGCCCGTGGGCGAGCGGCGCCCGGCATCGGCCGACCACGGAGGGGCCACCGCCCAGCCTGGGCCGTCGCCGGAGCAGCAGGCCGCCCAGGGGCCAACGGCGGCGAAACGGACTACCTACCGGGCCACCCCAACCCAACCCGAAGACCCGAATGTCGGGTTGGGGGGGGCAATGCGGGATGACGATGAATTTAAAACATGGGAGAGGACGATTAAAAACATAGTTTTTTGTTCTGCTACTTCTGCACAAATTTCTGACTGGAGAAGAACGATGAAATTATCCCGGCAAAGCAACCTAACATCGATGTGAAGTAGCACATCTGGAAGCATTCCCCTTAAGATTCGGATGAGAATCCAGTTGTAGAATTCTGCTGTTCTCGCAGTCGTAGTCGCATTCGCGATGACAGTCGCAGTGGCAACGGCAGTCGCAGTCACAGCCTCAGCCTCAGCCTGCCTCCTCAGCCTGCCTCAGCCTCAGCCTCAGCCTGCCTCAGCCTCAGCCTCAGCCTGCTTCAGCCTCAGCCTCAGTCTGCCTCAGCCTTCAGCCTCAGCCTCAGCCTCAGTCTCAGCCTTCAGCCTCGGCCTCAGCCTCAGCCTGCCTCAGCCTCAGCCTGCATCAGCCTCAGCCTCAGCCTCAGCCTGCCTCAGCATCAGCCTGCCTCAGCCTCAGCCTCAGCCTGCCTCAGCCTCAGCCTCAGCCTGCTTCAGCCTCAGCCTCAGTCTGCCTTCAGCCTCGGCCTCAGCCTCAGCCTGCCTCAGCCTCAGCCTGCATCAGCCTCAGCCTCAGCCTCAGCCTGCCTCAGCCTCAGCCTGCCTCAGCCTCAGCCTCAGCCTGCCTCAGCCTCAGCCTCAGCCTGCTTCAGCCTCAGCCTCAGCCTCAGCCTGCCTCAGCCTCAGCCTGCCTCAGCCTCAGCCTGCCTCAGCCTCAGCCTCAGCCTGCCTCAGCCTCAGCCTCAGCCTGCTTCAGCCTCAGCCTCAGTCTGCCTTCAGCCTCAGCCTCAGCCTCAGCCTCAGCCTGCTCAGCCTCAGCCAGCCTCAGCCTGCCTCAGCCTCAGCCTCAGCCTCAGCCTCAGCCTGCTCAGCCTCAGCCTCAGCCTCAGCCTGCCTCAGCCTCAGCCTGCTTCAGCCTCAGCCAGCCTTCACCTGCCTCAGCCTCAGCCTCAGCCTCAGCCTCAGCCTCAGCCTCAGCCTCAGCCTGCATCAGCCTCAGCCTCAGCCTCAGCCTCAGCCTGCCTCAGCCTCAGCCTCAGCCTCAGCCTCAGCCTCAGCCTCAGCCTGCCTCAGCCTCAGCCTGCCTCAGCCTCAGCCTCAGCCTGCAGCCTCAGCCTCAGCCTCAGCCTCAGCCTCAGCCTCAGCCTCAGCCTGCCTCAGCCTCAGCCTCAGCCTGCTTCAGCCTCAGCCTCAGTCTGCCTTCAGCCTCGGCCTCAGCCTCAGCCTGCCTCAGCCTCAGCCTGCATCAGCCTCAGCCTCAGCCTCAGCCTGCCTCAGCATCAGCCTCAGCCTCAGCCTCAGCCTCAGCCTCAGCCTCAGCCTCAGCCTCAGCCTGCCTCAGCCTTCAGCCTCAGCCTCAGCCTCAGCCTGCCTCAGCCTCAGCCTCAGCCTGCCTCCATCAGCCTGCCTCAGCCTCAGCCTCAGCCTGCCTCAGCATTCAAAATGTGCCCGGGAATCTGGGACTCGAAGAACACGAAGTGGCCTACAGTTGGCTCCGGGCATTCAAAATCATGCCCAGGAATGGAATTCTGGGAACTCGAAGACACGAAGTGGCCTACAGTTGGCTCCGGGCATTCAAAATCATGCCCAGGAATGGAGTTCTGGGAACTCGAAGAGCACGAAGTGGCCTACAGTTGGCTCCGGGCATCCAAAATGTGGCCCGGGAATGGAGTTCTGGGAATAGAAGAGCACGAAGTGGCCTACAGTTGGCTCCGGGCATCCAAAATGTGGCCCGGGAATGGAGTTCTGGGAAATCGAAGAGCACGAAGTGGCCTACAGTTGGCTCCGGGCATCCAAAATGTGGCCCGGGAATGGAGTTCTGGGAAATCGAAGAGCACGAAGTGGCCTACAGTTGGCTCCGGGCTTCCAAAATGTGGCCCGGGAATGGAGTTCTGGGAAATCGAAGAGCACGAAGTGGGCACGAAGTGTGTGACTGTATGCGAAAAACGATCCCCGCCGGCAAACCCCAACAGCCCCCCAACTGCCCCCCAACTGCCCCCAACGGCTGCCCAGACCCCCCTGTGGAGTAATGTTGAAGTAATGTTGAAGTAATGTGCTGCTCTCCTTTGACACCACTAGAAACCTACCAGTCTTCGATGTTAGGTAAAAATAGTTTTCCAACCCGCGGCCGGTTTTTTCTAATCGTCATCCCGGGCGCCGCCGCGTGAACACGACCCCCGGTCATTTATTAATCGTCATCCTCCATTATGGGCTCCATACGTGAATTTGCTATGTTCCCCGACCCCCCCCCCCCCACTCGAAATGGAGGGCACATTGAGGCCTTCGGGTTGGGTTGGGGTGGCTTGGTGGGTGGTGAGGAACAACGTCAACGTGGGACTTCGAGGCACGCAGGAACGGCATGGTATTGTGAATTGGCGATGGTCGTAAAGCGACCGGGTAACGGCCCAGCAGCACTGGCGGCGAGATGAACAGCACGACCAGCGAGCTGCAGCGGCGCAACAAACCTCGTGGCAGATGGCACGGCGCAGCTGTACACAGAATGACGACGCAGCCGACTCCGTGAGCCAAGCTGGCAACGACAACTCCGACAAAGACATGGCCGAGCACAACGCACGTATGAGACTGGCAACTCTAGATCTTGATACCATCACTGGCGAAAACAAAACACCAGTATACAAAAGCAAAGGAGCGCAGCAGCCAGAAGACAGCGCCATGTACCAACACATGTGTGAACTACACGGGATGAAGCACGATGTCCTCGGCACTCAATGCGCCCAAACACGCAACAAGACGAAGAACATGTCGTTCAAATCGGTCGTTCGCTTTGTCATGCAAGTCGGTCGTCTCCAGTTTGTTCCGCGCCCTCACACAACGCGCCGACTGTTGTCAACATATGTTGACATTTATTGTCTTGCGAGTTTTCGCAAGCCTTCATCAATTTCGAGGTCCCGTCGGCACTGCATGCCGCCACGTGCAACTCCATCTCCGCATTACTGATGTTCGCAATATCGTCACTCGATTTCGTTCGGCGTCGTTTGAACATCGAAGCCGTCGGACTTACCGTCACCTTCGTGTCCCTCTGCCTCTCCATTGCTTGTGCGCAGTTGAATTCTGGATGTGCTAAGAACTAAGGCAAGGCCATCGACGAATCCATGGAGGATAAGTTGTCACGGTGGTGACCACAAAAGTGCGACCACTGGCGAGGACTGGGCGACAACAAAGCCAGAAGGCCGCAGGCCCCGTGAGGACCGCCGGCCGCCTCTGGAGAAACTGCGCCCGCCTGCCGCTGCGTGTGCGGCCTCTGCACGCTGCTGGCTTCCCACGCCCACTTTGAGCAGGGACCGACCGTCCCGGCATTTCTATAGTCATACCATGAAATGTTCTTAGAACCCAAAAATGCTCCGATAGCAAAAACAATGTTCTTAGAACATAAGGCCGGTGTGCCACAACAAGACAGTCCCGGCCAGACATGTTCTAAGAACAGTTCGTGGAATCCACAGAAAGTTCTTAGAACATTGTTGAGGTAGGGCTATAGGCGAGCCAGGACGCTTCGCCACTGCTTGACCACTGCCCTTCCTGACTCACCCATGATCGTGAAGGCCTTACGGCCGGTGCCGCCGACCCTGAAGGTTTTGGCCGTCGATGGCGACGGGATGTGTGATCACAGGAAGGAGCTAAAGGACAACATGACAGGGTAGGCGGAGGAAGAATATGAGGAGGACGAGGAGGAGGAGGAGGAAGAGGAGGAGGACGAGGAGGAGGAGGAGGAGGAGGAGGAGGAGGAGAGGGAGGAGGAGGAGGAGAAGGAGGGGGGGGAGAAGGAGGAGGGGGAGGAGAAGGAGGAGGAGGAGGAGGAGGAGGAATCCTGCGCTGCCCCCCGACACTCCGCCCTCCCCAGCCTCCTCCCCATTTCGCACTTCCTCCCCCGTGCGTCACCCGGGATTATGCCGCATCCTGCCGCCTCCCTCGAGGCAAGCTCACACATCCTGGCCGATCGGAACCCACCTGACACAGCGAACGGAAAAAGCGACACTCCGTTCTCCCCAACCTCCTCCCCTTTCGCACTTCCTCCCCCGTGCGTCACCCGGGATTCTGCCATATCCTGCCGCATCCCTCGAGGCAAATTCACACATCCCGGCCGATCGGAACCCACCTGACACAGCGAACTGGAAAAAGGCAAAGAGCGGCCAGGACGCGTCGCCCTGGGAGCCCAAGCAGCTCTGCTCAAACATGCAGGGACGCAAAACGGCCTCGAAGGGACGTCTCCCGTGCCGCTTTCTGGATTCGACTCTCCTTCCATCGGCTCTTGCTCTCGCGGGGCGGCGCCTTTCTCTTGCCGCAGCAGCTCCAGACCCACCTGGCTTGTGCGGAGACCCCGCCTCCGCCCGTCAGTGCTGCAATGGGCCCGCCCCGCCCCATCCCCCCGAGAGCATGCAGGCGCGGCAGCAGCATAAACACCGCTCCATTCCTCGACGCATGACGACGTACGGAACGCAAAAGGAACTTGCACTGGAAAAGAACCCGGACACTGGAGGTCCCGAAATATTTGCAAGCACTCCACGTTTGCCCGCGGTTTCTGTCTTTCTCTGTCTGTCTGTCTGTTCGTTTGTCTCTCTCTCTCTCTCTATCCCTTCCTCCCGTTGTCTCCAACACTCTCTCTCCAGTAAGCCTTCTGTAATACATCTCATTCTATTATATGTATAGGTGTGTGCATGTCACTCTCTCTCTCTCTCTCACTCTCGCGCTCTCTCTCTCTCTCTCTCTCGCTGTCTCTCTCTCTCTCTCTTTCTCTTTCCCTCCCAGCTCTACTCAACCAACCCAACGCAACGCAACTCAACTCCATTCAATAATGCGTTCAGCGCTCTGATGTGTATTGTCGATATGTACGACCTACTCTCTCGCTGTGACCTCTCCCTCCCTTATTTAAATATGCGTTATTTGCTCCCTCTCTCTCTCTCTCTCTTCCTGCCGCCGTATATATGTACACGTCGATCACATGTCCCTACATCCGCCACGGCTCGTTGTGCACGCTGGTGCACATTAGACTGCAGAGCTGTTGGTTGGTAGGGTTTCTTTAACGCTGTTGTACAGCCGACAAGACCCCATACCCTCATCGCGCCCGCCCATCGATGAACATGTCCCCACCCCGTCGCCGTTGATTCGCCGTCGCCGTCGCCGCATTCGCATTGGAGCACATCGATTGCGTGATTTGTCTGTCGCGCCCGCGGCGCGATGCGTGCTCCCCTACAACGCGTGTTTCACCGCATAGATCGCACAATATCGCTTGCGCCATGTAGATCGCACAGCAAATATTGCACACCATGCATTGCACAATGCATATTGGGATTGCATTTCGGATATAGCACAACATAGGCTGGACAACGCACACTGCACAACCTATGCATGTGTACATATCTGTAGATGCACAACGACATGCATACGCATAGGTATAGACATGTGTGTATATATACACATATGTTTATGTTACATATACTGCGGCCCACGAATGTACCACATATAGATATGGCACAGCATATATGGCACGAGCTGCTACACGTAGTACAACAGATGTTGCTCCCCGTAGTTTGCGGACATAGATTGGTCCACCTATTTTGCACCACAACGATTGCACGACGTTGCCTGCATCACAGACTGTAGAGTGCACAACACCGATTGCAACACATAGATGGTACAACACAGACTGCACATTTGACTCCACCCACCCCGGGATTATCACATCCCCTTTTCGCATTGTTATTTTCGTGTGGTTCTGCCCCACCGTCCATCCCAACTATGAACGCGTACAATCCCTGCCGAACGGGTATCGTCCCCCCCCCCCCGCAATCCTTCGCAATAGTTTCTGTGCGCGTGCACCCACGTATCAAATTATCCCGGCAAAGCAACCTAACATCGATATGTAGAAGCATAGCTGGAGGCATGCAGCAGCAGTAACAGTCACAGTAGTAGTAGCAATAAGAGCAGGAGAGATGAAACAGTGGTAACAGTGAAACAGTGGTAACAGATGTAACCGGTTCCGTCGGAAATATTGCAATGTGGGAAGCACGTCCTGAACCAAAGACGGCTGTCAAGACAATGACGATGACGATGACGATGACGATGCTGATGCTGATTCTGATGATGATGATGGCGATGATGATGATTTTGATGATGATGCTGATTATGATGATGCTGTTGCTGATGGTGATGATGGTGGTGGTGGTGATGGTGGTGGTTGTAATGATGATGATGAGAATGATGCTGATGATGATGATGATGACGATGATGATGATGATGATGATGACGGTGATGATGGTGGTGGTGGTGATTTCCCCCCCCCCCCCCCCCCAGAGTTCACCCAAAGAGTTCGATCCCCATATCGTTCCAGGCCTTCGCAACAGCCCTATGCCGCCGAGCCTGTGATCGGAGCCTAGCTTCGAAAGCCTGCTCTGGGGTACCAGGGAGGTGGTTACGAACGTGACCATGAACACTGAGAAAGGCGTCACACATGCAAGCACAGAGCAGACGACGATTGGCGCACAGAGGGAAGAGCAGGAGAAGATAGGAAAACCACGGCCTCTCAGAAGTCTCCTCAGGAAAACCTCTGCCCATCCAGCGGAGGCACAAGCTTTTTAATCTGGGACGCGTACGGTAGTGCTTCAAGTTGTCGAGGCTCACGGGGGCACCTGCAGCAGAGTACTCAATGGGACATCCCCAACAGCACGATGGACGAGTCATATCCCGAAATCTGGCCGAAGTGCATACCCCTCTACAGCAAGATCGTAAGACACTGAATCCAATATGTGTGCTAGTCATACGGCAGACAGAGCGGATTTGCTTAATACACGAGTCGAGCATACAACGACGCACATCAGGAACCCATTTCGTAAGTCTTGTGTAAACTCCATCCATCGGAAGAATACCAGCGGGAGTACGCTTATGAAGGGCAGAGTAAATCTTTGGTTGAATGTTCTTAATAGTGTCAGGGAGATCCGGTATCACAGACATAGTTATTGTGATAACGTCGAACATAGAGCAGAGAAATGAGGACCTATACCAACTGGGTCGGAAACAGGAACAGCATCTGGATACAATGCGTTCATCGGAGTGAAGAACTTCATGGATCTCTTTCCGAGCCTGTTCCACAGACGGGCACGACGCAGCAAAACGAACCCTTGAAGCAGCCGAGAGGTTGACAATCTCCTTTGCTTCACAGTCAAGACCCAGAGACTTAAGGCGAGTGATCATGTTATACGAGAAAGAGTGTCTTGGGGCAGCCATCAGCAATTGAAGTGTTTCTTGATATATCTTAAGAACATGCTGAGGGACAGGATAAAGTTGGAGCACGAACTGCAGGACCGATAGACACATAACCTGGAATGTAGAAAGAGTAACAGCTAAGCCAAGACCCATCTGTCTGAGAGATCGGGTCCGAGAACAGAATTTCCTTAGGGGTTCCTGCCATCCGAGATCGCCCGCCTCAGGGCCAATATAGATCCCAAGGTATTTAGCGTATCTAACAAATTCTATCTCAGCAAGTCCATTGGAATATTCATTTACACTATCACGAAGAAGCGTTAGATTCATAGATCCACAGACCAGCACTTGACATTTCTTCGAGTTGAGAAAGAGACCACAAGCAGGACCAATGAGAACAAGCAAGGACCAGACACGCGGCAAAGATGTCAGGATGTTGTGCATCGCAAATAGGCAGTCGTCAGCATATGCAAGAGACCGTCGAATATGAGTGCCCGAACGAGTACGCAACCATCGCAAGATGGGGTCTAGGCATAGACAAAAGAGACACATGCGACTGGGGTCTCCCTGCCGAACACCACGGAGAATCTGGAAACCATCAAATCTCTTGCCCCCGAGTGTAATGATACCGTAGTTATCACGATAGAGCAAAGTGTAGAACTCGAGTACAAAGCCAGGAATGCCCATCGATTGCAACACATCAAGCATGAAACTAACCAGGATGGAGGGGAATGCAGCAGCGAAGTCAGCAAGCAGCATACCAGCACGATCATGCCCCAATAAATCTTGCTGAATTCCCCAGCTCTCTGCAGAGACAACATTACCAACCATACTTCGGCCAGACACGCATGTTTGTGACTCGTCAACGACCAACTTAGATAAGGGAGAGAGTGGGATGCAGAAGGCACAGGAGAGCAGCTTAGCATCTGTGTTGCCCATAGAAAGTGGCCGCGTCTCAGCACAATCACGAGTAAGCATCGGGCCTTCATCATGTGGCTTGGTACCTTTAGGCAAGAAAACCATAAGAAGACGTCGCATATCACTCGGTAAGTCGGAGATGCTGCCGTCACACAACCCCGAGTATACAGCAAACAAAATCTTGGGAGCTGGTCCGATCGTCCAGCACTGGTACGGTAACCCATCTTCTCCAGGCATTGACGGGGAACGGGCTTTGAGCATCTGATTGAATTCCTCAAAGTCGATTTTCCAGAAATCTTCAGAGATATCAGGGGCCTTCTGAGAAAAGCTCAGGATCTCATCCCAAAGATGGGTATCAGCATCGAAGTCACCAAAGACGGCACCCCAGTGATCACGAAGGGTAGCCGCAGAACCCTCCAGAGAAGCACATGGATTTCCATGCACGTCATTCACACTTGAAAGCCAGGTGCGTCTTCGAAATCGTTTCCAGATGTCCTGTTTCCTACTTATCTTTTCCAGGGCAGCACGTTTGGTGGCCTCTTCAGACGGGGAGCTTTCGATCAATGATGCCTCGCTGTCTAGCATCTGGGACTGCAGAGATTGGATATGAGCAAAAAGATCAGCAGGATGTTCGAGCTCAAGAGAAACAAGATTAAAGAAACTACCAAGATGTTCATAGCATTCAATCGCACGAATAAGCATATGCTCCCTGGATAAGCGCCAACCACGAAGAGAATGAAGAGACCAATGCAACTTCTCAGATAACGATGAGGCAGGTCTACTGGCAATAGCTTTCTTGGCACGCTTACACGTGGTGTGCGTGATATCTTTGGCACGAGCAAGAGTCTGAAGAGTACATTGCTGGCCATGGTCATTATCATCAAGCATAGCCAGAAGAGCAGAGGACAGCATCTCCTGATAGATAGGATGACGAGCAAGCCAGAGAGGAACATAGGCTTGGGCATGGGCAGGAGGGGCATATCTCTCGATCACCGACAGGACGAGAATGTGGTCCGAGCTCTGGATATTCTTAAGCCTCCCCACCACAGATGTGCTGATGGTCAAATCCGCCAAAAGGGCCGAGGGGATGTCCGAGTAAATGCGGTCGAGGCGAGACGTCTGAGAAATAATCGTGTCCCTTATTTCACGTCTGGTATCACATTCCTGGAAGAACTCAACCCAAGAA